TTTCACCTTTGCAATGGCTGTTGGTTTCCAGGCTTGGTTTCACCTCAACGCTGGGTGGCGCTCTGTCCTCACGCATCTCCTCTTCAGTTATGTGCTTTGCTCCCAGGCACCCCGGCCCCTCCCTTTACTACCCAGAGCAAAAGTGGGTGGAGGTGGCTGCCCTTCCCTGTAGGACTGCACTTTTTTCTTCTTTGGCCGCCACCCCACAGGCTAGTCTATAGAAGCCGTGTGTCAGCCTCCTGGAATTCACGGCTGGAATGAACTTGGGGGCATTTGGCTTCTCCCTCTAGGACATCTTGAAGAATTGTGACTCAATAGATCCTCAAATACTTCCCATGGGGAATGCAAAGCTGTCGTATCAGAAAATAGCTTGTTTCCGCATCAGTTTTGTGCACATTTTTCTTTCCTTAATCGTATCCTCAGTCCCCTTTCACCCAAGAACAGGGAACAATTCTTTTCTCTCCTCTGTGCTTACACCCTTCAAATACTTGCAGACACGTCTCATATCCCGCTTGAGTCACCGTTTGGCACAGTCTTGGGTTTTGGGTTTTTATTGCCTCTGCTCATAAACCGCACCCCCAGCGGCTCCATCAGCCTGAAGTTCCCCTTCTCCGGGCGAGGGGAGGGGGCGGCAGTCTTCAGTGGGTTATGTGAGGAGGCTTAGAGGTGGATTTTAGAGGGAGGCTAATGAAACTTCAGCTTTGTGGCCCCCCACTTACGCAGGCCCCTTCCAGGACCCTGTTCCCTAATTTGTACTTGTCATTTTATTTTTCTTAAGCAGGACCTCCAAAATTGTATTATTTTTGGCGTTCCCAAAGTTGGAATCTACTCCTTAAGAAGCGATGTATTTGGCAGGCTGACTGCCTCCTAGTTGAGACCAATCTTGAGACCCCCCTCTCGAAGGACCCTGGTTCATAATTCTAATTTCCTTTTTTTTTTTAAACAAAACAAAACAAAACAAAACATGAGTTTTACTGCCTGGCTGCAAAAGTCAGAGCCCAGCAGCATCCCACTCACTTCCTTTCATTGTAATTTGGACAAGTTCATGTTTTTTCTTCTCTGTCCTCTCTTAGAACAGAAAAAGTAATTGCTAGTCAATGCAACATAAATATAATTAGGTTAGGCGCAGAAGTTCATGACTCAGCAGACAAGATGATTCCGCATGTCTAAACAGTATTTAAGTATGGTGCTGTGTTCTTACCTCAGCATCCCCCCCCACTCCCCCTCCCAAACATGCGTCCCAACACTCATGACATCACAAAGCCAAGGGTTGGGACTAACCTATATTTGCTGGATTCTTAGTCATGGTTCCCTGTACCGTACAAAACCACATCTATTAGGTGTGGAAGAGGAGAAACAATGGTCCCGGGACATCCACACATACTCAGTAAACAGGATTTCAGTTTGTTTTGTGAGTGCACCGTAGATTGGAGGCTGTTTAAACAATGGGTAAGAATGTGGAGCAGAGATCCTTCAGCACACCCCACCCCTTCCCTAATGTCAAAGCCTGGGGTTAAGGGATGCACTGGGTTCTTCTCCCCCACATCCATACTGGCATTTTCTCCCAAGAATAGTTCATTTGTCCTCCCTGGCATTATCTCTGTGGTTCTTCCAGGAGGGACATGCCCTATTAACTAACCCCTGTTACTTAGTAGACACCCAGCTGGAGGTAGCAAGCCCCTGTTCTCTGTTCCTGCATGTTCTGTGACTTGTCTCTTCTGCTCACTTTAAGTTGCTAGATAGAGCAACTATGTGTGACTGGGCAGGATCTTTTATTCACTGTTAATCCTCAGAGCCTAGCACTAACAAGAGGGAATGAACCAGGCATATTATAGAAAAGAGCCTCTTGGATACAATCAGGAAGTCTGTGGGTAAAGATTTGAGTAAAGTGTCCCTTACTCGTCTGTGGCTAAAGGAGAAGGTTCCTCTTGAGTCACTTAGACAAGAGCAGTGAAACCCAAGGAAGAGTCTAGGTCCACAGGCCCTGTGCCTTTGGATCCAGAGAGACCCCTAGTTTCATCAAACAGATCAGCTCTGAATCCATTTCCTCCCACCTGTGGAAACATTCCTGCTTTTCAATGAGCCAAGTCAAAACAGCACTGATCTCATGCACAGTATTATCTGTAGTTCACAGGGGCCAGGGTGCGGATAGACAGCTGGAGAGCCTGTGACATACTGCAAGCATCCCTGTCCGTCCCCAGGGCCCCCAGTGATAGAGCTCCTTTGCAAGATGTGTCTTGAAAGCTGGGAGATCTGGCAGCCCTAATTACATTTTTTACTTCACTGCCTCGCGTTTGACTCATTCACTGATGAAGATAAGGAATGTCTTCACACAGGTCTCTACCTCCCTGCCCTGAAGGGAAGGTTTGCCTCCCAAATCCCAGGGTCCACGATATGAACATCACTGCGGGACACTCAGCTCTGGGATTTCCTAGCTTCACAGAATCAAAACCACGCCAGTCTTCCCAGCACAGGGTTCTGGGAACACTTCGAAGTAGGTTCAGGGGGAAAGACCAAAGAAAGGGTCGGGGGCCGCTCCTCTTGGTCGCTTTTCCCTTTCCGCTGTTTAATGGAATTGTTGGAGGGCTTTTGCTAGTGCAGTCATTTCCAGGAGAGGAAGCCGCCTTTCTTCCATGCCCCAAGCAGCTGGAGTGAATCAGGGGGGCAGCCACATCAGCACATCCTGTGGGGCAATCGCTCACGCGCGGGTGACAGAGCCCTGGGGACCGGCAGGGGCTGGGATGCTTGGGGACCTCGGGGCGGGTTGGTGCTTAGGGCGTGGTCGCAGGCGGGCGCAGCTGGCCACCCCGTTTCCATTTGGGGTGCGCCCCCTGGATCCCTTAGTCTCCTGCGCTCCCTTACCTACCCCCCTTGGCTGCGGAGGGGCCCGAGCCCAGGAGTGTCTGGGCAATCTCCCCTTGGGCCCCCTTCCTGCTTGAGTAATACCGCCTTCCCTTCCACCCTCTATTTACTACGGCGGCCCGGTTGCTTAGCAGCGGGCGCGCGTTGCCAGGGCGACGGGCCCGGAGCGGCTTTGATTGTTTGGCAGGGCCCCGCCCTGGCCTCCGGCGTCCGGGCTGTCCCGGGCGGGGGGGGGGGGGGGGGCCGAGCAGTGGCCTTGCTTCCTCGCGGTCTTCCTGCCTAGATGGGAACCAAAGTCCCGGGGTCCTCCCAGCGAGAGGGAGAGGGAGCGGGAGAGGCTCCCCTGCCGAGGATGGCGCCCGGTGGGGCCAGGGACGAGGCCCGGCGCTGCTGTGGGCGAGGAGCTGGGTCCCAGTAGTGTGGGGCTGAAGTCCGAGCTTGGCGCTAGTACTTGTGGAGACTGGCCCCTGATAAATTCCTCAGACCCAGGTCAGGAGGTGCCAGTGACTGTGGAAGCCAATCAGACATTTATTTCCCTGTCGCCTGCGCTTGCCCACCAGGGACAGCTTCCCGAAGCTGCTGTAAAATAAGGCCATGCCTTCACCCCTTTTTGTGGACCTGCAGGTGAAGTTTCTGGCCAGGCAGGAAGCCCTCAGCAACTCTGAGGTGTGGTCACCACTCTACCCCCTACCACGGGTCTACTGACTTGTTTAAATAACTCAAGTGATTTAACCTTCCTGAACCACCGGTCAGGAGAGAGAAATCCACCTCCACAGTTCAGCTGAGAGGATCAAAAGGGTAAAAGTGGAGGGTGGAGGAGGGAGCTGCACCTGCCCCACAGGCTCACTAGACTGGCAAATTGTGGCCTCTTCTATCAGATTCAGAGCATTTGATTTGTTCAAGGCCACAATGCTAGTAAACGGTGCCATCAATGCTCAAAACCACCCCTAACAACCCCCCAGGCTGCTTCTTAGTAAAGGGGAGGTACAGACACTTTTAACAGGGCACAGATTGCAGGCCAGGTTCTAGAAACTCATGGAATAAGGAGCTGGATTAAGTGTACTTTATGCTCCCCAGATACACAGTGAGAAACACAGATTCCCCTGTGTTTTGTGTTTCTCTGTGGCAACTAAACTAATAATTACACAAAATTATTCTGAGCAATAGCTTGCTTTTTCTATGATGTTCATGTCCACTCTAAGGGTTCTTGTAGTTATGACCCAATCACTTTTCTGAATTGAGGAAGCTAGCTGAGCCCTGATGCTGATGGCTCTTCAGCACCACTAGCTCTGCTCTGAGTCCCAGAAGGGTTCTAACTTCTGAGATCCCTAACTTCTGGTGATGTGAACAGCACAACACCTGGCTCTGTTGTGTGTGTGCATGTGGGTGTAAGCTTATTTAATTTTTCTCTCCTGGGAAAGGCAAGATAGAGGAGAAGGAATATTTGATTTTTTAAAGTGACCCTTTGAGCTGGAAGTTGGCAGTGCCCAACTTTCTCACATGGGAGGCAAGTCACTTCCAGCTGTGGACCCTACCCTAAACAAATCGAGACATCCTTGCTGGCTGTGTGAGTTGTCCTGGGTCTGGAAGTATTCTATGGATTCTCCTAGATTGTGTGAGACCAGAAAAAGCCTGTATTCATGCTCTCTTAGTTCTTATTTCTAGCAGATTATATATAGATCAGCGCTGCTTTCCTGCAGGACAGTGGAGATGCCTCACCATTCTCTGACAACTGAAAGTCTACTCTTCTAGTTCACTTGAGGGGCACATATTGTTGTTACATCTGGGCCTTTTACCAGGGACCAGATTTTGTCAACTGGAATTAGACAAGTGGAGGGGAAAAAAGTTGCTACAGGGCTCTAAGCTACCCTGAGAGCAGCGAGGAAAAGTAAGATTAAAGAAGAAATGGAAATTTTAATAAAAGAAGATGAAAAAGTGAGATCAAGGTATGGACATCACCAGGTTTACCCAGAAAACTAGGCTGGGGTAACTCATTTTTATTCCATTTCATATAATCCTACAATGGGTTCCAGTGAAATAAATTAAATTGGTGAATTTTTATAACCTGTATGACCAACACAACCTTAAACTTCCTTCCCATGAAATACTCACATGATTTCAGGAGTCAAGACACCTACCTGCGGGGTGAGACAAACATTTTGAGTCAGTTGAGAGGAAATGCTCATTCACTTGTGAAGGTCTGAGGCAGAGATGTCCCAGTTCTACTCTGCTCTATCTTGATCTGATGTGTGGAGTGGGGATCTTGTGTGAAGATGAACCAGGCCCCCTCTTGCCAGCAGAGGGGTGAGGTGGTGTGGGGTGGGCTGGAGAGGCTGGAAAGGATGTCCAGCGCCAGTCTGGGTGGGGCTGGCTGACACGTAGGGTTTGCTCTGTGACATCACAGTGGCAGGTAGGGAGCTCCCTCCCCACCCCCAGAAGGACGGGGGTCTCACTGGGGGACTGACCAGAGGCCTGGATGTCTTCTGAGTGATCCATGTCAATGCTTCTACTACTGTGCAGAAGCTTCACCTAGGCATCTTAGTAAAATGGCAGATTTTGAAGGCCCGGGGGTGGGGGGCTCCCCAAGATGCTGAGTAGACCACATGGAGTTGTCAGGTGCTAGCCCAGTGCTGCCAAAGAGAAATATAGTATGAGTCACATATGTAATGAAAATTTTCTAGTAGCCACGTTAAAAACAGAGCAATAGGTGCACACACACTGCCATGTGACCATGAAATCTTAAGGTCTTATAAAGTCTTACACAGTTTAAGAGGTAGTCCTTCCCTGAAGGAGTTCAAGTAAGATGTATTCCTCCTCCGAAGCATGACAGTTCATGCTGCTTCCATTTTAAAATTTGAAATTAAGTGAAATTAGAAATTGAGTTTGCAGTGGTACCAGCCATATTACTAGGGTTCAAGAACTTAGTAGCTACCATGTGGGATCATACCAGTAGAGAACATTCCTTGACTGGTATCTGGAAACTTAGCACATGCTCACTAACATACTTTTAATCACCACACAGAGCTGCTGACACTGAGCTCTGACTTCAAGTCAGGGCTCTCAGAGAGGGGTGGTGATTTCTGGATTCTAGGATTCTGCCGATGAGATGTGGCCCAGTCAGTCTTCCTTTGAGCTTTCACCTGGGTGCTCCTCACTGAAATTCCTCCCTCTTCCTTACCACCCCATCTAAATCCTACACACCCTTCAGGGCACATGGTTCCAATTTCAGTTCAGCCAAAAGTCTTCCCTTATTATTCCAGCCCTCATTGCTCTCTCTGGATTATACAAAGGGCACTTCTTAACACGGGGTCTTAACTCTTGCTTTGCTTGAGGTTCATCAGTATGTTTCCATAAAATTTGAAGCTGCATGGGGACAGAAAATAATTCTTCACTTCCATGTGCATAATATAGTACTGTTGCTCAATAAATATTTTACTTAATGAACTAAGGTAAATAGTATCTGAGAGAGAACATCAAAACTAAAAGTATCAATAACTTGAACAAAAGGAATAATTTGCTTTGTTCCTGGCCTGTAGTGGTCCAGGGAGAATGATCTGGCTAGAGGGGATAGGCTAAATGGTTGGTGAGAATGTTTCTCCTGTCCTTTATTCTCAGGTATAAATAAACTGTTCCAGGCTAAAAAATAAAAGAAAAAAAAATATGTCCTTGCCTGTAAGTTAATTTATAAATTTAATGTAACCCCAGTACAAATCCCAATGGACATTTTTAAAGAACAAGGCAAGTTGATATTAAAAGTCATATGGGAAAATAAATGCACAAGTCCACGTAGGAAAATACTGGAAAGGAGAGGCTCTGCAGGAGACCAGCCCCAACAGATAGACTTGCCACTTGGCCTCTATAATGAACCCTGTGTAGTGCATGTGTTTGACCAGCAGACCCACCAGTGGAATAGAAGAGAAAATCCAGAAATAAACACAGTCATGCACAGCCATTCAGTATATGATAAAGGTGCTATCTGTAGCCCCCCAGGCAAAGATGATCTATTTAACAAATGGTATGGGTACAAACTGGATAGCCATGGTGAAAAATAGATAGAAATCGTATCAACTTTTTATACCATCTCCAAGAATAAATTGCACACAGCTAGAGATCTGAGTGTAAAAGAAAATTATACAAGTACTAGAAGAAAGAAAGGGTAAATTCTCTTACTACCTGGGTATAAATGAAGACTCTATGACTAAAAATCCAGCTATAGGTAAGAAAGGGTTGGTGCATTTGAAAATGGTAAACAAATACTTCTGCATGGCAAAAATCACTGTAAACAAAATTAAAAAACCACTCACAACTGGAGGAAATATATGTAATAAATAAGACAATGATAGACCAATATTTCGAACATACAAAGTATTTTTTTTAATGAGGGGGGGAAATATCAAGATTCCTATGGAAAAATAGGTAAAAATTGAAACCATACAGTTCACAAGAGGAGACTTGGACATGGCCCTAAATAGAAGAAAAGATGTCTAACTTTACTAACAGGGTAATACAAGTGAAAACTACAATGGGCTACCATTTCTCATCATATTGGAAAAATTAAAAAGCTTGACAATATATTCCACAGTTGAGGCTGTGGGGAAATAGGAGCTTTTATTCACTGCTGGAGGGAATCCAGAATGGTCCCACCTTCTGGAGCAGAATTTGGCAACATTTCACAAGAGTACATGTGCGTTTATCCTTGGACCATAGAAATTCTACTTCTAGGAATTTGCCCTGCAGATGCAATTCCAATAGTATGAAACTATATATTCACAATGTTATTAATTGCAGCTTTCATTGTAATTATAAAATATTGGAGACTTACATGAATCGCCAAGCATAAGATTGGTTGAATATTCATGGCACAATCACACAATGGAGTTCTGTGCAGCTATACCAAAAAAAAAAAAAGGGACATTTTCTAACCTGATAGGGAATGAGTTCCAGGAAATAGTAACTGAAAAAAATGGAAAATTCAAAGAGGATATATGGTATGTCATCTTCTGTGTGAGAAAGCAGGATAAGTGAAACATACATGTGTCTGTTTATCCTTAGCAAAAGAAACACAGGAAAGATAAACCAGAAAATGATGAAACTGATTACTTACTGGAGGGAAAGGATGGAAGCAATTCAGGAGGGAGTGTCACTTCTCTGAGAATATTTTTGTACAGTTTTGACTTTCGAAAGCTTGTTAATGTTCTACATATTCAAAAAATAAATTGAAACAAGATGAGAAGGGAAAGGAAAAACCTAAAACTAAAAACAAATGGAAACAAAGGAATTCGATGTATTTCAAGTGAATACTATAACCAGGAGAAGGGAAAAAGCAAAAGGAACGACAAATGCAAGAAACTCATGACACCATGTTTCACGATCTACCTTCGGCCTTAGGCCAGGTTTGTGGGGGAGAATTGCAGTCTATTCCTGGGCTCTTTTTAAATGTATATACATATTCATTTTGTGGCCAATGAGTTAAGTAGTTTTCAAACTATTTTAGATGTATGGTGGGCAAATGAAGAAATAGGATAATGCAGGGGGGTGCTGGAATTCCTATATGGGAAAGGGCATTGAAATATGGGATGGGGGGGAGCAAGAAGAACCCGAAGGGGTAGATTGGAATTATAGGCATGAGTGTGAACTCATGATTATCTCTATCCATGCATCCACATGAATACACATGTATGTATATGTATGTATGTATGTATGTATTTTATACTTGTATGCACATGTATAAATGCATGCATATTTTCCCCAGTTTTGTCTGCTGGAAGGGCCTCCAAGCAAAGACTACCCAGAACCAATGAACACCTAATCTTGCCCTCTAAAACCAGAACTTCTCAAAGAAATGGCTTATTCTAGAGCTGGGTCAAGGTAGGTAAAAGATGAACTTGGAACACTATGCCAGAAAGTAAAGAAATCCTTAGGGAAAAAAATTGGTAAGGGGCATTTACAAGGAACACAGATATCTCCTTGAAGGGATTTTTACGCTGAATCTGGTACAGTTTGAAATCTGAAGTAAAAACAGCATTGAATAATAAACCATTGCTAAAAAAAAGATTAATTGGTGCACGCAGATGAAAACTTGAACATGTAGAAACTGTGTCTAGTAGATTCATATTATATTCTTTGCCCCAAGCATTTTCACTGCATGATTATTTGGCTATAAGGCAATTTTGGTGTAGAAATATGTAAAAATCACAAAAAGAGTGACACTTATTTAAAAAAGACAATGAAACATGAAAAGTCAGTAACAAAATGAAAAAAAAAAGAAAATAAAAGAGTGGAATACATTTAAAATATGTACAGGCTCATGGCAAAACTTTTTGCCATGCCTTGGTAAATGTTGGGTTTTGACCCGTGGGTGGGACAACCGTACTCATGCAAGTGTTAGGGGGAAAGGATGTCCTGAATAAACTCCACAAAAGGGTTTCATGGACCCCACCCCCACTCCAGACCAAAGAGATCCAAGACACCAAGGACTACAAATCCCGTAATGTCATCATCACCAAAGGGAGGGTTGCTGGGACCTGAGGGTGAAGTTAAGCAGCCAAGTTTGGTATAAATCCAGACATGTGGGTTTTGGGGGGGTCTCTTGGTTATTCACCAGCTCTCAGCGTGCTATTGGGGTCCCAGCTCAGCAGAACTTATAGGAGGCATTCACGAATTGATCTCCCTCTCTTTCCCCCTGAGTTATTCATTTCTTCATTTCCCCTTCTTTTGTAAATAGACCTTTTATTAACCTTTTTGTGTGTGCCTGCAGTTGAGTCTTATTATAAGTCCCTTTTAAGTGCACGGGTGAGGACCCACATGGTCGGGCAACCTATTTCACATCGGGGTTGCCCTGTAACAGAAGGACGTGCAAACTGACATGGCATCATTTTCTGTGCAGTATGCAATCTGGCTTTACACGCTTACCTCACACTTCTCGTATGCTTCATCACTGTATTTTCTATCAAGTTGATAGATGTTGCCTTTTTTTTTTTTAACTAGCCATTATTTTCAAACTGCTACTAATGACTGAATGGACCATTACAAGGGCTAAGACGTATGTCCTGTAAGCATGGGAGTACTGCCTCAGTTGAAACTAATCAGACCAGATTGCCAGCCAGGGATGCCAGGCCTTTTACGACAAAAGTGCCTTACGGCAATGAGTTTTGCGACAAAAGTGTTTGCCGTAAAGAACTTCCAGCGAAACTGCATGGGCCAGTATGTGTGTGTGTGGGGGGACCCTGTGCATAAACAGCAAATGTCTGAAAAATGCAGCCTCTTCCTGCAAGCTCTTCCTCCCTCTCTCATCCATGAAGGTAGGTGGTTCTCAACCTTGTCTTTCCCCCCCCAAACCATTCAGACATCATAGGCACAGTGCAATGAAAATTGTGAATTATTCTACCTCT